CCAGGGCAGTTCCGGGAGCCGGAACTCGGCCGCAGCCTCCGCAGGCTCCCCAGCCCTGGGCCAGGGCGGTTCCGGGAGCCGGAACTCGGCCGCCCCGCGCTCGGTGCTCGCTCCGATAAGAGCAGGCACTAAGAAGCACCCAGGCACTGAGCCCGAGCAATCTGTCTGCAAGCCACAGGCGAATGGAAGCCTGAAATTACCTGTTCTATGGCTGAATTAGCTGCGGTCAGTCGAAAACAGGGATGGTGACGTCAGCTTTCCAACATGGTGGCCGCTGGCCTCCTCTGTGGTCTGACCGGTGTGGAGAACCGAGATGGACCGCTTCCTTCCCCCGTCTCGAACCCAGAATTCAGCTGTGAGTAGGGTGCTTGCACAGCTGGCAGAAACTGCAGTGCTGTATCCCTGCGTCGCTATCTCCTCGTTTCCCAGCGCGCGCTGTAGACTCTAGCCGCGGGGCGATTTGCTGAATAAGCAGTGTTACCCTCCGTGCGACAAACCTCTCGCGTTTGAGTCCCCGTAGCTGATCCTCGTGCGATGGAAATCCTTCCTCCAGGTTCCGGAGCACCCCACTATTGCTGGAAATTCCTAACAAGATAGCCTTTAGCCGTCCTGACTTGTCATACTCCCACACAGTGAAGCAGCACACGGGGGCAATGCACTCCCCTCGCCGCCATCTTCCTCTCTCCTTATTTATTTATTTTTATGTGGTGCTGAGGATTAAACCCAGGTTAGGAAGTTGATAACTAGGCGAGCGCTCTACTGCTGAGCCACAACCCCATCCTGGGTTTGAGGTTTTTTTAAGCCATCCTTAAAACCAGTTTAACATTCAACTTTCTGATGCCTGCTAAGTTATGTACCACTTACTTATTTGTATTTGGCTTCCAAGATTTGTTGACATTGTTTCATTCTTAGGTTTTTCTTCCCCTCTGAACTCAGGATTAAACCCAGGATCAACTTGTACATACTAGACAAGCTCTCTACCACTGAGCTACATCCAGAGCCCTTATTTTCTATTTTGATACAGGGTTATGCTAAGTTTTATGACTTTTTAAAAATTCATTTTGGCCAAGAGTGATGGAACATGCCTATAATCTCATCTATTCCATCTACTCAGGAGGCTGAGGCAAGTTTGAGGTCAGCCTTGGTAGCTTGGCAAGATCCTATCATAAAGGGTTATAGCTCAGTGGTAGAGCGCTTGCCTAACATGTGTAGCATGTGTGAGGCACGGGGTTTGATCCTCAGAACAATATAAAAATAAATAAAATAAAGGTATTGTGTCCATCTACAATTGTATGTATATATATATATATATATATATATATAGAGAGAGAGAGAGAGAGAGAGAGAGAGAGAGAGAGAGAGAAGGAAAGGAAAAAAAAAAAAACCCTGTCATAAAATTTAATGAAAGGGTTAGGGATGTAGTTTAGTGGTAGAGTGCCCCTGAGGTTTAAACCCTAGTACCAGGAAAAAAAATTCATTTCGCATGGAGTTTTAGGGTGTTTATAAATGTTTTCCCAATACTCGTCATCCTTACCACAAACACATTTTATATTTTTCTGTAAAATTCCAAACTTACTATTTTTATTATCCTCTTTGGCAAAATGAGAATACCTTAATTTCCTTGTGAATTCTTTTTCTCATTTTCTACATTTTTATTAACTAGAATTTTACATCTAGCTTATTGGCTCTTAAGATACTTTTTTCTTATATCTGTAATGTTTTCATTTGCCACACTATATTTAAGGGGATTTGATTTTAGAAAATGCTGATTAGTAATATTGGGCTTTTCAACCTAGAAGGTCATTTTTTTTTTTAAACTTTAAAATAAAGTTTCAACCATTATCTTTTTTTTTTTTTGTACCAGGGATTGAACCCAGGGGTGAGCCACATTTTTAATTTTGTATATATACATGTATTTTGACAGGATCTTGCTGAGTTCCTTAGGGCATCGCTAAGTTGTTGAGGTTAGCTTTGAACTCCAGATCCTCCTGCCTTAGCCTCCTGAGTTGCTAGAATTATAGGCATGTGCCATCACACCTGGCTCAACCATTATCTTTTTATTTTTCTTTTTGCCATATTGGGGATTGGAGCCCAGGGTTTTTGCACATACTAGGTAGGTACTCTACTACTAATCCATGCCCCTAGCCCTTCAGTCATTATCTTTTAAAAAATATCTCCTTCACTGCTAGTTTCTTCTTCTAAAGCTGTAATTATTTCACTGTTGGAACCTGTCTTCACTACTTCTTAGCTTTCCCCCGCCTCTTTGCTTAATTTATTAATCTTTCTTTCTTTTTTTTTTTTTTTGGTACTGGGGATTGAACCCAAGGCCTTGGGCATGCAAGGCAAGCACTCTACCAACTGAGCTATATCCACAGCCCTATTAATCTTTCTTTGTAGTGTGTTTCAGGTACTTTCCAATGCATAAATTCTCTATTTGTCTTTAGTATTCTCTTTAAGAGTCTTAATTTTAGGGCTGGGGTTATGACTCAGTGGCAAAGCACTTGCCTTGTACATGTGAGGCACTGGGTTCTATCCTTAGCACCACATAAAAATAATAAACAAAATAAAGATACTGTGTCTATGTATAACTAAAAATATTTTTTTAAATTCTTAATTTTAAATTTTTTTCTTTAGGTTTGAATTCTCCTGCTTGTATCTGCTGCTGTGGCCAATGATTATGATTACAATTTTCCTGGAGTATATAATTTTGGTTTGCTGGCTCATGTTGAATAGAAGTTTTTCCACTTTGGTTTGGGAGTTTTCTTAGTTTGGTACTGGCTCTATGTTGGTTGTTTTATTAGGGATTTTTATTTTTATGAATAGCCCAATTCTGAACCATCCTGTATATGTTATGTACCCTCATACATGCTATGCAAGCCCAGTTTCTATCCTCCAGGTGCCTCTGTTTCTTCTACAGGCCACAGGTACGTTTTGGGTAGGATGTTGTTTTCCATCAATTCCAGCAAGACTTCCGTTCCGGTTTTGGTTTTTTTGTCCTGTGCAAGGTATGCTGGACGTTGGAGCTTTAGTGACACTGTTTTTTATCTAAGTCCCCTCCCTATTCCCAGTGGGCTGCATGGTTTTAGTGTCCATTACCACTCTTGAAATATCTCCTCTGTTCCTGACAATGAAGATTTTGCTCTTGTTATTGAATGTAGCCATGTACTTGAATTTTTATGTTTCTTTTATGTCCTTCTGGGGGACGAAGTTTTATGTTTCTCATATGTCTTTCTGGAGGTCCTTCATGAATACACATATAATTAAGAATATGATTATTTTTCTGTATTTCATGTACAAAAGTTAGCATACTGTATAACCTGTTTTATGTTTTACTTTTTGTGACAATCGGGTATTTTCATTTGATAATTCAGGGAGCTGATTTAAAGACTCTTGGTTTCTTTGTTACAGAGACTTGTCAATTTGACACTATATCGTTTCTTATCTTTTTTTGTCTCCTCTCCCAGTTGCTTACAGTGTTGAGAATTGAATCCAGGGCATTCTACCACTGAACTACTCCCTAATTCTTTTAAATTTTAATTTTGACAAAGGGTCTTACTAATTTGCTGAAGCTGACTTTGAACTTGTGATCCTCCTCCCTCAGCCTCCCAGGTAGCTGGGATTATAGGCATGTACCAGTGTGCCTGCCTCCAACCCTTTTTTTTTTTTTTTTTGGTATCAGGGATTAGACCCAGAGACTCTTAACCACTGAGCCACATCTCAAGCCTTTTTATTTTTTATTTTGAGATAGGGTCTTGCTGAGTTGTTGTGACTAGCTCTGACCTTTGCTCCTCCTGGCTCAGACCCCTAAATTGCTGGCATTACAGGAATGTAGCACTACGCCCAGCTTTATTTTCTGTGATGGGGCAAGGTCTTGCCAGTTCTGCCAGGCTGGCCTTGAACTTTGAATCTTTCTGCCTTAGTCTTTCTAGTAGCTAAAATTATGGGCATGTGCTACCCACCCTCAACTTCACGTTGATTTTCATCACAACAGGAAAAGATCTTCTTACTTTTGAATTTTTCCATTGATTTCATATAGAATTAAAAAAAATATATATATATACATTAAACATATATATGTGTGTGTATATGTATATACATATATATATGCTCTTAATCATTTTCTTCAATATAAAGATTCACCAGTTCCATAATTAAAATGACCTAATGTCCCTTATTTATTTATTTATACAGGGGATTGAACTCAGGGGTGTTTTACCACTGAGGTACACCTCCAGCACCTCCCTCCCCTTTTGTTTAAACATTTTCTTTTGTAGATGGACACAATATCTTTTTTTAAATTTTTTTGTGTGGTGCTAAGGACTGAACCCACAGTGTCTCACTATGTTGTATAGGGCCTCTCTGATTTGTTGTGGCTGGCCTTGAACTTTCGATCCTCCCACCCCATCCTCCTGAGCTGGGATTATAGGCATGCGCCACTGTCACTAGCCATCTCTATAAATTTTAATAGTTTATTAAATTAATAATAATTCATTCTATGGGTTCCTGAGAGCTATGTGATTATATATCCTCTTTTATGGGTCTTTAAAAAAAATTTTAGTGATAACAAGGACTTATCTGGCATTTACTTGTGCTAGGACAGAAATATAGGACAAAAGAATAATTTAAAGGCAATGATAAGGAGTCCATGTCACTGAGAAATATGAGAAGATGTTTGGCAGTTTTAGCATCAAGAATAAACTGAAGTTTTAGTTTTCTCTCTTTGCATTTGTCAGGGGTGTATTATACTTCTTTCAGTTGTTCTTACAGAGATACAGTATAAAATAGTTTTGTTGCTACGGTATAGCTTAAGGTGAGTTAAGCTAGCATTTTCAGAGTTCAAGCTCCTAAAATCTCAGGTAGGTGTATTATTTTCTTGTTTAAAACCTTATGAAAAAGTGTTAGTTTACTAATTTCAGTGACATCTAGAATTTTATCCAGTGTAGAAACTGGTTATACAATCTAAAATACAAATAACTAAGGGTTTTTTGTTTGTTTGCTAGGATTGAACCCAGGAGCATCTGAGCTCCCCAGCCCAGGATTTTAATTTTATTTGGTACTGAGTCTCAGTAAGCCAGGCTGGCCTTAAACTTGAGATCCTCCTGCCTCAACGTGCAGAGTAGCTGGTATTATAGGCATGTATCATCACACCTGGCTATAGTAGGTATTTTAATAATATAGTTTACATTCCCTAGGTCTTACTATGTGCCAACTGCTGCTTTTTCTATATTAATTTAATGTCCATAGCAAATCTAAAAAGAAAATGCTATTATTATTATTTTACAAATCAGATAAGTAGGATACCTTGAAGTTGAACAACTTGATCACAGAATTTATAAGTGAAAGATTATCTGGTACTACAGTTATACTGAGAATTACTGCTTGTGTCCTCCTATCTTTAATTTTTATGAGGTAAGTATAGAAATTAGGAAACAGGCTAAGAAAGAATACCTTTCTCATAGTCACTTATTTCTGTTTCTCTCACTCCAGCTTCATGTTTTTATTTTGTGTAGCCTCTGTTCTACCCTGAATGATAACAGGATTCCCAAGAACCGTACTATCAAATTCTTGCACCCATGAAATTAGGCCCGCAATTCTTTCTACAGTTTCATCTTTTTTTTTTTTTTTTAATAATAGGGATTGAACTCAGGGGCACTCGGCCACTGAGCTACATCCCTAGCTGTGTTTTGTATTTTATTTAGACACACAGGGTCTCCCTGAGCTGCTAAGCACCTTGCTGAGGCTGACTTTGAACTCATGATTCTCCTGTCTCAGCTTCCCAAGCCACTGGGATTACAGGGATGAGCCATTGTGCCTGGCTCAGCTACATTTTATAACCCTTACGTGCTAATTGTCTTACCTCTCAAGGCCATTTCTGAGCAGTAGAGGGTTTGAGTACTCTATTGAACTACCAGTTCTCAATCCTGTTATCAAATTCTGTGCTGCTTTTCCAAGTTAGTTTTCTTACAGATAGATTAAAACTTAAATAAATTCTCTCTCTTAAATATCTTCATTTTCCCAGGTATACATCTATAATTCCAGCATCTTGGAAAGCTGAGGCAGAAGGATTATGAGTTCAAAGTCAGCCTCAGCAATTTATTGAGGACCTAAGAACTTAGCAAGACCCTGTCTCTAAATAAAATGTAGAAAATGTCTGGGGATGTGGCTCAGTGGTTAAGCGTCCCTGGGCTCAATTCCAGGTATGAAAAATAATCTTCATTTGTAGGAGACATAAATTCAACTTTTGTGAATACTTGATGGATTAATACTTACTGTTTTGCTTATTTGCCTGACAGGGCTACTGAGAATGTTTAGTGAAACAAATAAGATGTTTTATATCAGCTCAGTCTGCTGTTATTTTTCTTGTTAAAGAACTTATAAAAAAGTATCAGTTTACTAATTTCAGTGAAGTCTAAGACTTTATCCAATGTAGAAACTGATCATACAGTCTAAAATAAAAATAACTATAGGTTTTTTTGTTATAACTTTATTCTTTTTTTTTTTTTTGAGACAGGGTCTCATTAAGTTGCTATATCCCCAGGTTTTTTTTACTTTTTTGAGACGACATCTTGCTAAGTTGCCCAGGTTGGCCTTGAACTTGGTATCCTCCTGTTTAAGCCTCCCTGGTAGCTGGGATCACAGGTATGCACTCCTACATCTGGATCATGTAATTCTTTTTTTTTTTTTTTTTTTTATAGTAGATGAACACAATACCTTTATTTTATTTTATGTGGTGCTGAGGATAGAACCCAGTTTCTCACATGTGCTAGGCAAGTGCTCTACCAACTGAGTTATAACCCCAACCCATGGATCATGTAATTCTTAATGCTATAAGATAGATGTTGTCATTGACACTTTATAAATGAAACATCTGGGTTAGAAAAATTATGAAACTTAATTTAGATCATATAGCTCTAATTTGACAGCTTTCAACCTTAAGTATATCTGTCTCAAATGTTTTGCTTTTCTCATTATACTATCAGATTATTCTGATATTTGAATTTGATGAGTAGAAATTCAAAGATTTATAGGATGTTAGAGAAAAATAGAAAAGATATATTATTTATATGTATTTGTACATTTTAGAGAATAGTAGTAGCTGTAATTAAATGTACTATATTATCATAATATTTAATTTTTTTGTTTTCAGGTAACAGAAATGAGTGTAACTGGTATTGCTTCAAGAGTTGAAACCTGGCTGTTAGCTACGTGGCATGTTAAAGTACCTCTAATGTGGCTGGAAGCTTGTATTAACTGGATCCAAGAAGAAAGTAATAATGTTAATTTGAGTCAGGCACAAATAAACAAACAAGTATTTGAGCAATGGCTACTTACTGATCTGAGAGATTTGGAACATCCTCTTTTACCTGATGGCATTTTAGAACTTCCAAAAGGAGAATTGAATGGATTTTATGCTCTACAGATTATTTCCTTGGTTGATGTAAGTCAACCTGCATATTCCCAGGTACAGAAGTTGAGAGGAAAGAATACAACTAATGATTTAGTTACTGCTGAAACACAAGTTACCCCCAAACCTTGGGAAGCAAAGTCTTCACGAATGTTGATGCTGCAGCTAACTGATGGAATTATACAATTGCAGGGAATGGAATACCAGTCTGTTCCAGCTCTTCATAGTGATCTTCCTCCAGGTACAAAAATTTTAATTTATGGAAACATTTCTTTCCGTCTTGGTGTTCTCTTGTTGAAACCAGAAAATGTAAAGGTTTTGGGAGGTGAAGTAGATGCTCTTTTAGAAGAATATGCACAAGAAAAAGTACTTGCAAGATTAATTGGGGAACCTGATCCCGTTGTTTCAGTCATACCAAATAATTCTTGCCAAAACATCCCCAGAGTTACAGATGCTCTAGATCCTGCCTTAGGACCTTCTGATGAAGAACTCTTGGCAAGTCTTGATGAAAATGATGAACTTGCAGCAAATAATGACACCTCCTTGGAAAGGTGTTTCAATACAGGTAGTTCCTCAAATACTATTCCCACAAGACAACCAGGTATTGAGCCAGGATTTGTTGTTTCTCCTAGACCAAAGGAGAAACCACCAAACCAATCTGTGCATTTCACTGATGGGGAAGTAGATGACTTTTCACTGGAGGAGGCCTTGCTTTTAGAAGAAACTGTCCAGAAAGAACAAATGGAAACTAGAGAATTGCAGACATTGACTTTGAACAGAAACAAAGATGAAAACATAGAGAGATTTTCACATAAACCTAATACTCTGCATGACTGTTCTTTGATTTACAAACAAGAAAATAGTAAATGGAATGAAGAACATTTATCTAAACAAGGGACTCATGAAGATAGGTGTTTTGGTAGTCCTTCTGCTAGAGACAAAAACAGCAGTGTTTTTTTGGATCATTGTAATGTGTCCTTAGCCCATGATTTTACAAGAAAAGATAAAAACTCAGAGACAGATTATAAAATAAAACAAATCATCAGCCGTTCAAGTAGCTATTCCTTAAATGATAAAATATTAAGTAAAGAACTGGTCAATGATGTATTGAAAAAAAGCTCACAAATTTCTAATGAAAATGGTTACCATTTACATACCTGTTCTTTACGTTCCTCAGAGACTAGCACTGATTTTTTTACTGGCATGGATTTGTATTCACCACCTTTTATCTATTTGTCTGTTCTAATGGCTAACAAACCAAAGGAAATTACTACAGTGAAAATCAAAGCATTTATTGTAACTTTAACTGGAAATCTCTCAAGTTCTGGTGGCATTTGGAATATAACTGCAAAGATTTCTGATGGTACTGCATACCTCGATGTAGACTTTGTAGATGAAATACTTACTAGTTTGATAGGGTTTTCCGTACCAGAAATGAAACAGTTAAAAAAAGATCCTCTTAAATACCAAAAGTTCCTAGAAGGTTTGCAGAAATGTCAGAGAGATCTAATAGATTTGTGCTGTCTAATGACTATTTCATTTAATCCTTCCTCGTGTAGAGCAGTGGTACTTGCATTACAAGATGTTAATATGGAACACCTTGAGAACCTAAAGAAGCGGTTGAATAAATAATTTACTAAAATATATTGCATGCTTTTTTGTTGTTTCGTTTTTTTAAGACAGTGTCTTGCAGTGATGTCCAGACTGCCCTCAACCTCATGATCCTTACCCATAGACCCCTGAGTAGCGAGGATTATAGGATTGGGCTACTGTACTCAGCCTTAAAACAGTATTTAAGGACATTCAAAACAAGGAAATATTTAGAATTTATTCACAATTTTATTTTTGAAACTTTATTTTTATAGAAAGAAAAAGTGAAGTTTCATAGCGTATTTCAGTTTAAAATATTTAATCATGTTTGTTATATGTGTAGGGTTTTTTAAACATGAATTTTTTATAGTATAATTCGGTGACTCACTATTAATAAGTTTTTTTAAAATTAGTGGATTATTTAATGAATATCAATATTTTGACCTTTTTTGTTGTTGTTGTGCTGGGGATTGAACCTAGGGCCTTGTACATATGAGGCAAGCACTCTACTGAGCTGTATCCCCAGCCCAATAAATTTGTTTTTATCTTATTTCATGTAGAATAATTGCAAAGTATTGTATTGATGTTCCTGAGGAGTCCTATTATTGAAGTTAATAAACAAGTAATTTTACCTCTAATATGTTGAGTACCTAACATTTGATTTGTTTGTTTTGTTATTCTTAGGAAAAAAAATGGATTAAGATATCAGGCCTTCAAATGCAAATTGCCATGCTGATTTTTTTATACCTTTATTTTATTTATTTATTTTTTTTTTGTGGTGCTGAGGATGGAACCCAGGGCCTTGCACACGTTAGGCAAGCGCTCTACCACTGAGCCACAACTCCAGCCCATGCTTTGCTAATTTTTATTTTGCTAATTTTAAATATTTGTCTGGCATATTAAAAGTAACCCTTACTAACTTGATACTTCAGAGATTACATTGAATGATTAAAATGCTTTATTTAAGGAGAATTTATTTTAAATGACATTGAAAACTTCATCATTATTAAGTACTTTATCAGATTAGAAGAGGTATTTTCCATGTCGTTAGATGAATTAGCTATACCTATATGCTTTTCTTTAGTTTTGTTGTTAAGTGCTGATTGTTTTGAATGGAGGCTTTTAGCCCGTTCTTCCACTTTGCTCTTAGAAAGTTACAGAATACAACAGACACTAGTATGGCAGTATGTAAAAAAGTGGATGTGTAACCGATGTGAATCTGCAATATGTATACGGGGTAAAAATGGGAGTTCATAATCTGCTTGAATCAAATGTATGAAATATGATATGTCAAGAGCTTTGTAATGTTTTGAACAACTAATAATAAAAAAAAAATTTAAAAAAAAGAAACAACTTACCACAGCCGCTATAGTAAGAAACAGAACTATAAATATTCCAAATATTCTTTATTAAAATAATTTTAAATTGAAATTAAAGCCATTTCCACAAAGAAAAGAAAAAAAAAAGTTATACTTGAGAGTTAAACTTACATTAATTAATCTTTCAAAGTTTTAAAGTACCTTGAATTTTAAAATGTTAAATAAATGCTTAAATAATCAAATGGAGACACTGTGCTTACATTAGTGAAAATAGCTTGATAGGAAATATATGGAAGGTAAATACTTTTAAAATGATAACAGAAAAAAGATTTTAAAATACTTTCCATTGTTTGAAGAATGATAATCATAGTTCAAAGCGTAAGAATACAGAAACTGCTGATGTATGCTCTAATAATCTTGCATGTATACTTGTGTATCTCTTTTAGTATAAGAGAACTAAATGGGATGGCATTATCTTTTTTCTAAATGTCTGTATTCTGTCTTTATGAATGGTGCTTAAAGACTATAATTCGACCTTTTATTCCCTTCATACTGAGTTGCTGAAAAAAGTACCAGTTCATCCTTCTATATTGTTTCTTCATGCTTTGCTTTTGTTTGTAGTTTTCTCTCACCTGGATTATTCCAGTGGTTTGCTAATTGGTCCTTATCTTATTTTTCTCTCAAACCATTCTCTATAATGCTGCCAGAATGATCTTTCTAAAATAAATTTTCTTTTTGTTTATCGTTTACCTTTAATATCAGTCTCTTCTCACTCCTTAATTACAAGGTGAAATCTGAAACTCCTCATCTAGTCTAAAGCCCTTTATGATATGACCCTTGATTTCCTTTTTAGCCACATCTTACCTCAATACTCTCTGTCTGCCTACTCTGCATCTGAGTTTTAGTTACACCAAATTACTTGTAGTTCCTTAAATATGTATAGGAATATACCTTTCACTTTCATATTCATGCTTTTAGTGCTTATACTCTCAGATTCCCCTATCTCCTCATATTTCCAACTCAGTGTAAGTTTTAGATGCCCACCATAGTGTTTCATGAATTCCCTTTCCACTTACATGCCCTCCTGTGCATTGTTCAGACTAATATGTATGTTTTAATTGTGCTTATTTGTTGCTTCACTGCTAGACTTTTTTTCCCACATTTTATTGGTGTATTATAGTTATGCACAATGATGGGATTTGTTGTTACATATTTGTACATGCACACAATGTAACAATGTAATTTGGCCAATATCACTCCCCAGCACTTCCCCACTCCCTCCCTGCTTCTCATCCTTTAGTCTCTTTCTTCTAAGGATCTCCCTTTGATTTTTAGAAGATCACCCCCACCTTTTTTTCCTTTTTCTTTTCCAGTTTCTGCACGGACCTTCTGAGTTTGACTTAATTTGCTTAATATGAAATAAATCTCTAGTTCCATCCATTTTCCTGCAAATGCCATAATTTCATTTATATTTATGACTGAATAGAATTCCATTGTGTGTGTGTATGTGTGTGTGTGTGTATTTTTTTATCCATTTTCTTTATCCATTCATCCATTGATGGACACCTAGGCTGGTGCCACAGTTTGGCTAATGTGAGTTGTGCTGCTATGAACGTAGGTATGAGTGTATCACTGTAGTAAGATGACTTTAATTCTTCAGGATAAATACCATTCCTTGGTATAGCTGGGTCATATGGTGGTTCGGTGGTTCCATGTGTAGTTTTTTTTTTTAATATAGGTGGACACAATATCTTTTTTTTTTTTTAATGTAGTCCTGAGGATCGAACACTCTACCACTGAGCCACAACCCCAACCCTCCATGTCTAGTCTTTTGAGGAACCTTCATACTGATTTCCATAGTAGTTGTACTAATTTACAGTCCCATTAACAGTGTGAAAGTGTTCCTTTTTCTCCACATCCTCTCCAGCATTTATTATTATTTTTATTTTTGATGACTGACAAAATGACTTGTATGAGATGAAATCTCAGTGTAGGTTTTTTTGGGGGGGCGGGGAGGTGGATCATGGTACCAGGTATGGAACTCAAGGACACTCAACCACTGAGCTACTTCCCCAGCCCAATTTTGTATTTTATTTAGAGACCTGGTCTCACTGAGTTGCTTAGCACCTTGCCATTGCTGAGGCTGGCTTTGAATTTGTGATTCTCCTGCCTCAGCCTCCTGAGCCGCTGGGATAACAGGCATGCGCCACCATGCACAGCTCAGTGTAGTTTTTATTTGCATTTCCCTGATAGTTAATGGTGCTGAACATTTTTTCATGTATTTGTCGGCCATTTGTATTCTTTTAAGTTATGTCTGTTTAATTCATATGTCCATTTGTTAATTGGGTTATTTGATTTTTTTGTTGTAAAAGTTTTTTGAGCTCTTTATATATTCTAGAATATATAAAATTAATCCTCTGTCAGAAGAGTAGCTAGCAAGATTTTCTCCCGTTCTGTAGGTTTTCTCTTAATATTTTTTAATATTTATTTTTTAGTTATAGATGGACACAATATCTTTGTTTTATTTTTTATGTGGTGCTGTGGATTGAACCCAATGCCTCACGCATGCGAGGCAAGTGCTCTTCCTCTGAGCCACAATCTCAGCCCCCTCTATTCACATTTCTAATTGTTTTTTGTTGTTGTTTGTTTGTTTGTTTCTGTGCAGAAGCTTTTTAATTTTATGCTGTCCCATTTATTAACTCTTGACATTGCCTCCTGAGCTTTAGGGGTCCCTCTACTGCTATTTATTAGGACAATTATTGTAGGAGGCTATCCTGTGCATTATAGATGTTTAACAACATTCCTGACCTGTACCCACTAGATGACAACAGAATTCTTCCAGTTTGGACAACCAATAATCTCTAGACATTGCCAAATATTTCCTGGGGGGAAGATGCTTCCGCTTAAGAATCACGGCTCTGTTAGCATATAAACTGCTTGAGTATATGGTTGAGTGATTTGCCTTTAACCCTAGTAAAGTATGTCATCAAAATCTTTATGCCTTTGCTTAATGCCTTTTAGTGACTTCTCATCAAGCATTTTATTTTATTATTGTGTGTGTGTATAATTTTTTTTTAAATGGGTATTTGATTCTGTGGTGGTGCTTTACCACTGAGCCATGTCTCTAGCCCTTTTTATTTTAAAATTTTATTTATTATTTTTGGGTACTGGGGATTGAATTCAGGAGCACTCAACCACTGAGACTGTTTTTTTGTATTTTATTTAGAGACAGGGTCTCACTGAGTTGCTTTGTTTCTTGTTTTTGCCAAGGCTGGCTTTGAACTCACAATCCTCCTGTCTCAGCCTCCTGAGCTACTGGGGTAACAGGCTTGTGCCACTGTGCCCAGCTTTATTTTTTATTTTGAGACAGGGTCTCACTGAGTTGTTGAGGGCCTCACTAAGTTCTGATCTTCCTGTTTCCGCCTCTGAGTTAGGTGTGGAACACTGTGTCTGATTCCCATCATGTGTCTTAATAGCATGGTATTTAAAGCCCTGAAACCTCATCTTACTTAGCTCCTCAAAGCGCTATTCTCCTCAGTGAAAGAATACGTTGGAAAAAAAAAATAGGTTGGTTCTATTATAAAGGCAGACTATGAGAAAACTTGACGTGGCAGAATGAGGGGAAAAAAGTTTTTTAGTTTTCCCTGAAAATTTGTAGCTATAGGTTTTTGCTTATGTGGGTCTAAAAAGACATTTAAGCTACCTTCATGATAACCTCCCAAACAAAATTTAACATA